CATCCATCCACTCACCCATCCATCCATCTGTCCATACATCCGTCCATCCGTCCATCCATCCATCCATCCATCCACTCACCCATCCATCCATCTGTCCATACATCCGTCCGTCCATCCGTCCATCCGTCCATCCATCCATCCATCCATCCATCCATCCATCTGTCCATCCATCCATCCTTCTCTAATGGGTATATACCCATGTGCTTTTTGGGAACCTGTTTTTTACACCCCACATTACATTACGTATGAACAAAGTGACTCATGTTCTGATGAGTGGGGGTGGGGGTGGGGTGGAAACCATTGTGCCCCCCTGGAGACCCCTGTGCTGTGTTGCTAGGTCCTGTGTCCACAGAGTAAACCTAGACTCTGTGTTGGTGCCATTGGGTATAAAGTACTTTGCAGCTTAAGAACATTTGTAATCAGATATGTTGGCAATAAAGAAAGATGTTTCAGGGGCGCCTGGGTGGCTCGGTCGGTTAAGCGTCCGACTTTGGCTCAGGTCATGATCTTGAGGCCCATGAGTTCGAGCCTCGCATTGGGCTCTGTGCTGACAGCTCAGAGCCTGGAACCTGCTTCGGATTTGTGTCTCCCTCTCTCTCTGCCCCTCCCCTGCTTGTGCTCTGTCTCTCTTGCTCTCAAAAATAAATAAACATAAAAAATGATAAAAAAAAGAAAGACATTTCAGGAAGATCTTCAAAATCAAACTGAACGAATAAATGTTTGAGGGGCACCTGGGTGGCTCAGTCGGTTGAACGTCTGACTCTTGGTTTCAGCTCAGGTCACGATCTCATGGTTTTGTGAGTTTGAGCCCCACGTTGGGCTCTGTGCTGGCAGCACTGAGTCTGCTTGGGATTCTCTCTCTTTCCCTCTCTCTCCATCCCTCCCTTGCTCGTGCGCTGTCTCTGTCTCTCTCAAAAATAAATACATAAACTCAAGAAAGATGTTTGTGCCATTTTAATGCTTCCTGTCTTCCTAGTCAGGCCGGGGGTTCCTGGAGCAGGGGTTGTGTCCCCCTCCTGCCCCATCTGACTGGCACCCCCCAGGCAAGCGTGTTCCTCCTTTCTCCCTCTCTCTTTCTGCTATCCCTTTCACCCAGGCCTGTGGACGGTGGGGGTTCTGGTTGTGCGTCCTTATTCTGCCTTGTGCGATGGCTGCCGGGGACGAGGGGACGCTGTGGCCAAGGGGGTGTCCCGAATTCTCTTCCTCTTCCTCCTCCTCCTCAACGCCCAGTATGGAGGGAGCACGTTACTCGTAAAGCATTGCTTCCCCCGGAGGCCTAATAGACACTTCCTGTCTAACTGGTCCAACACGGGCCGGCCGAGCCCCCTGCCTGCCCTGCCCACCCCCAGCCCTCCCCATGTCTCTGTGACAGCTCTGTCCTTCCAGCGGCTGCTCCTGTCATCCCAGACTCCCCTCTTTCTCTCACGCCCGGGGCCAGTCCGCCAGCCACCCTCCCCCGCCCCTAGGACCAAGCCACCGGCGTGTCAACTCTTAATCGTGTCTTCCAGAATACAAACGCTGTCAGGGCAGGGTCTGTGGTCTGTTTCACTCTTAGCTGCGTCCCCATCGCCTAAAGGGGGGCCCAACACGGAGTAGGTGCTCAGGGAACGCTTGTCCACTGAGATTCCACAAACACCCTGACAACAGGCGGGACGGGCACCTGCTGGAGCTGCAAAGAAGGGATTTTGAGAAACGAATCAGCCGTCCCCAGCCCACTGCCCTGAGCTCCCTCTGAGGGGCCCTCCCCACGGGCTGGCCAGGGGTGCTTGCCGGCGGGGTGGGGGTGGAGGGGGAGGCTTCTGCCATCTCTGGAGAACCCGCACCAGTCGAAGGGAACGGGAAACAAAGTCTTGAGAGGTGGGGTAACTGCCCGAGAGCATAGGTTGTAAGGGGCTCTAGGTTGTAAGGGGACTTGTGTTTTGTATATGCTACCTGATCTCTTAGCACGTGAGATAAGATCTCCACCCGGTACTTGGTCGGCCCTCAGAGCCAGGAGTCTCAGAACAGAGGCAAAGCTGGGCTGATGGGGAGCTCCTGCTGACCGCTGAGCCCTCCTCCCTCGGGGTCCCTCCATTTCCCCCCATCTCTCTGAGGGACCTCGGTGCCTCCTCTCCCGGCCTCCTGGATTGGTAGCCTGAGTGAGGAGGGCTGGGCACGGAGCCAGGAGGTGGGGACTCGGCTTAGGCAGCTAATCAGGTCACAGGGTGAAATTAAAAGGGAGGAGGAAATCACCGACCCATCAGAATGTGCGCTCCTTCCTGGTGACTTGGTGCCCAGGAGAGGAGCTGGGGAGACCGGGCGCGCCGAGGCCGGGAGCCAGGGGCGCAGGATGGCCCCGCAGAGAGCGGTGCAGCTGTCCCTGAAGAAGCCCACCTATGCCGTGTGTGTGGTGGGAGTCGAGACATACGTGGACGTTCACAGGTGAGAACATAGGGGCAGCCACCTGGCTGCATTGGGCCGGGCCACCCCGGAGGACCCCAAGGCAAGGGGGGGGTGGGTGCCCGGTGGACAGATCGAACATGCTGGAGGGTGCTCGTAGGAGGTTGCTCTGACGGCAGAGTAGGGGGAGTGGGATGGAGAGTCTGGGAGGGAGGAGCTAGGGTATCAGGCCCATCCTGGGGCTCTGTCTCCTGGGCACCTGGGTCAGGTCTCTGGCCTCAAGCCTGTGGTTAAGGGTTCCAGCTCTGGGCCCCAGGCGGTGCGTTCTGACGTCCGAGCGGAACTCGTGTGCAATGGCGGGGTGACCTGGGGCTCAAGACCGGGTTGTCCCGAATTCCGCCCTCTGTTTCTTGCCCACGACCCGTATGTCTGAATGGAGGTGTGGAGTGTGTGGCATCTCGATCCTTGGAGGCCAGCCCGGGTGATTGGGATCAGGAGGGGAGTGTCAGAGAGATGATTCAAGGAGTTAATAGAGGACAAGAACCTGGTCACTGAGGGAGCTGGACTTGGGGACCTCGGGGGTGGGGCTTTTCCAGCTCTGACACTGTCTATGGTCTCCATCCCTGCTGGAGGAGATGGAAGGTCATTTCAGAAACTTGGGCCGCACATAGTGCTGCTGACTAAGGCCAGAGGCATTTTACTGGGAGCCAGGAGACACGGGTTCTGGTCCTGGCTCTGATGCTCACGTGCTGTCTGGCAGGGAGCCAAGTCACTGGCCCTCGCTGGGCCTCATTTCCTCATCCGAGCCCCGACAAGGTGAGCCGAGCCCCTCTTGAGTTCAGCGTGGAGGTCGAGTGCGCAGATTGCGGGGCTGGACGGACTTGGGTTCCCCTTGCCATCACGTCTCAGAGGGCGGGAAGAGCAGAGGACAGATGGGGGCATGTGTGGTGGGAGCGGAGGGCAGTGCTGTCTGGGGACCCCCTTCGGGATCACCAAGCATCTTGGCACCCTCAGATTTGGGCGCTGGCCCAGCCGTGGGGCAGGAGGAAGCTGCCCAGCCTGGCCCGCACTGCTGTGTCTCTGGTTGACTCTGGGAGGGGGTGCTACTTTGGGGTCCTGAGTGAGCGTTTTGAGAGCCCCCCCCCCGACCAAAGAGCCTTTCAGGAGCCTTCACCGGGGCACGGGTGGCGACCAGGGACATAGCCACCGAGAGTCTCGAAACTAGAAAACAGAAGTTTATTCTGCAGCAAGCTGGCTGAAAAGTAGACTGAAGGCAGGGCTTCCTGCCCATGGGGTCTGTGATAGACGGAGAAGGGCCATGGGACTGCCAGCCTGGGAAGGTTTGAAGAAGAAGCCTGAAGGTCCCCCAGGGCCTGGGCTGACCAGGAGGAGGGGACTCCACCCCATGATGAACTTGGGGCTCCTCTGCCCCATTGCCAGTTGTCTGGCTCCGGCTGAGGCCAAAAGCAAGGGGTTTCTACTTAGCCTTACTGGTCGAAGGGGGAAAGCCCTCCCGAAGAGGGGGTGTTTCAGTCGCCAGGGCAGCCCAGGAGCTAAGCCCTCTGGCAAGGCCGGTGGCGATGGGCATGTGGGGTGACATCACGGGAAGTGATTAATTCCCCCCGGTGCTGCGTGGACTGGTTATTTGGAGAAACATTTGTGTTCGAGGTAATTGTGCGCCCCGGCCCAAGGAAGCTTTAGAAATCCCGTGACTCAGGGGCGCCTGGGTGGTTCGGCGGACCGAGTGTCCGGCTTCGTCTCAGGTCGTGATCTCGCGGTTGGTTCGTGAGCTCGAGCCCTACGTCGGGCTTGGTGCTCTCGGAGCAGTGCCCACTTTGTTCGGATTTGCTGTCTCAAAAAGAAATCAAACGTTAAAGAAAAGAACACCCTGCCTTAGCACGTGCTACAGATTCTGTTCCCTGA